GGTGGCACAGCTCATTAGCATATTAGGCCACACCCCCATGTTACCAGAAGTGTGGTCATCCAGCCACACCCACCTTTTGCTTCTTATTCTCTTTACCTTGTTTGTTGTCAAAACCCAGGACTTTTTGCATGTTAGGCCACACACCCCTAATTGTAGCCAATCCGAATGAGTTTCTGCTGTTGGGTGTGTTCTATTATGCTAATGAGTTCCTGCTGGGCGTGGCCAACTTGGGAGCCAGCCGGAACTCCGCTCCGTTCCTGCCCCAAAATAGCCCTGCCTGCTGCCTTTGAGACCGTAGATCATGCGTCTCTTGTTGAGGCTCTTGGAGACAGAAGTAGGTATCAGGATGCCCACTGAACTGTCACTCACCAGCTGTGTCTTTGAACTGTCACTCACCAGCTGTGCCCCATGATTGGGATCTTTTCAGGATGGGGTGGAATAGGAGCAGAGACTGACTCAGGACGTTGGTTCATCAGGTCAGTATTGTCTGCCTGGGCTGGGGGTGGCTCTCTGGGCACCTAGGCAGGAGTCTTTCCTATTGGCCCTGCAACCTATTCCATTCTAGACAGATACTGTCTCACTGAGCCATAGCCACAGTGAGCCCCCTCCCCACACTTTTTATGGTTTTGATTGCCGATGTTAGCTCTTTGCAGTTCTTATAAGCTGCTAACCAACATTGAAAGATGAAACAATTGAGAGAGAACCAGCAGGAGCGCACAGGAGTGGAGCTCCCGCAGTAAAGAGCCCAGGGGGAGGGCACATGCAACAAGCCCCACCCCCTGCTCCCAGCAGCCCTCAGTCAGAGCAAGAAGCAGCCAGGTAAGCTGCAGAGCCCCCCCCCCCGGCCCCAAACTGTCCAGTGGCACCTTTAAGACCAAGTTTTATTCAGGCACAAGCTCTCCCTCCTCTGCGAGGACAGATCTGCACGCCCCCCCCCCCCAATAGCTAGCAATCCAAAACAGTCCAGTGGAGCCTGAGTGGTGGGTGTTGCCTTCTGACACACTTCTGGTGATGTCAGGGGGTGTGGCATATGCAAATGAGTTATGCTGATGAGCTCCTGCACCTCTTTTTCTACAAAATGACCCCTGGACAGAACCATCATAAATCGATGAAGTAGAGCAAAGTTGGAGTCCAGGGGCACCTTTGAGACCAACAAAGTTTAATTCTGGGTATAAGCTTTTGGGAGCGTGCACATTCTGTCTGGAGCTGCGGTGGCTCAAGTGGTTAAGATGCTGAACTGCAGGCTGTGGAAGGTCAGTAGTTCAGCAGTTCGAGACCCGGGTGCCGCATGATGGAGTGAGCTCCCATCTCTAGTTCCAGCTCCTGCCAACGTAGCAGTTTGAAAGCAAGAAATTGCAAGTAGATAAATAGGTACCACTTCGGTGGGAAGGTCACAGCGTTCCTTCTGCATTGGTGTTTAGTCGTGCCGGCCACATGACTACAGAAATGTCTTTGGACAGCGCTGGCTCTTCGGCTTTGAAACGGAGATGAGCACCGCAACCCTAGAGTCGGACCCGACTGGCTTTCGAGCAAGGGAACCTTTACCTTTACCTTTACCTTCTGTCTGAGTATAAGCTGCCTGGTATGCACACAAAAGCTTATTCCCAGAATAAAACCTTGTGGGTCCTAAAAGTACCACTGGACGCAATCTCTGCTCTGCCGCGTCAGACCACCACGGCTCCCCATGAGGTGTCTGTCCTAGGTGTTTTGCACCTGCTCCACCACAGCAGTAATGACCGTGCGGCTACTCTGCTCCCAGCCATTTTCTTGCTTTTCTTGATTAGGGTTTGAATACTGTGGCTGGTCACTGTGATCTTCTGATTCTGCCTTTGTACTTCTTCACCCAAAGAGTGATTTACACATGGAAGTGGTGGCGGCTACAAGCATGGACGGCTTCAAGGGGGAATTAGATAAACATCTTAAGCAGAGGTCCATCAGTGGCTATTAGCCACAAGGCATAGATAGGAACTCTCAGTCTGCTGTGTTCTCTGTGTGCTTGGGGGGGGGGCAACAGTGTGTGTGGGGGGGCTTCTGGTGTCCTGGCCCCACTGGTGGACCTCCTGATGGCACCTGGTATTTCTGGTCACTGTGTGACACAGAGTGTTGGACTGGATGGGCCTTTGGTCTGATGCAACATTGGCGTCTCTTATGTTCTTATGTTGTTGAATTGGGCTCACTATTTAGGTGGTGTCAGCTGCTTTGTGGATTTCTAGCTGATAGTGTGAGATCATAGAATCATAGAGTTGGAAGGAACCTCCAGGGTCATCTAACCCAACCCCCTGCACAGTGCAGGAAATTCACAAATACCTCCCCTGCCACACACCCGCAGTGATGACTGTTCTACACAAAAAAACCCCACCAGGATCTCCAGCCAAACTGGCCTGGAGAAAAATGGCTTCCTGACCCCAGAGTGGCGATCAGCATTTTCCTGGGTGTGTAAGAAAAGGGCCACGAGAACTAAGCCCTGAGGCAACCCTTCCTGCCCTCCCTCTCATGATCTGCCTAAGTTCACAGGATCAGCATTGCTGTCAGATGGCCATCGAGCCCCCGTTTGAAAACCTCCAAAGAAGGAGAGCCCCCCACCCCCCAAGAAAGCCTGTTCCCCTGAGGAACCACTCTGACAGGAAGTTATTTCTAATGTTTAGCTGAAAACTCTTCTGATTTAATTTCAACCTGTTGGTTCTGGGGCAACAGAACACAGCCCTTCAGATACTTGAAGATGGTTCTCATATCGTCTCCTCTCCAGGCTAAACATACCCAGCTCCTTCGGCCTTCCCTCATAGGGCCTGGTCTCCAGGCCCCTCACCATCTTTATTGCCCTCCTCTGGACACATTCCAGCTTGTCTCTATCCTTCTTAAATTGTGGTGCCCAAAACTGAACACAATACTCTAGGTGAGGTCCAACCAGAGCAAAGTTGTACCATCACTTCACATGATCTGGACACTATACTACTGTTGATACAGCCCAAAATCGCATTTGCCTTTTTAGCTACCCCATCACACTGCTGACTCATGTTCAGTATATGGTCTACTAAGGCTGCGGTCACACGGAGCAGTAGCCACGCTACTAGGGCTGCCAAGTGGGGGCGGGTAAACCCCCCCCCTTTGGAGGCCAGATTTCCACCGCCGCGGAATCGTCCCCCCTGGGGGGGAACTTCCCTCTGATGATCCAGGCCACGCCCCCAATGTGGGCAACATCGCACGTCACTTCTGGTGATGTGCTGGCGGCGCGCGCGCGCACGCCTCAGACAACAGCTCCCGGAGGCCGGCGATGCTCCCCCGGCGGTGAGTTCCGACGACTTGGCAACCCTACACGCTACTGAGACTGATGATAGGTGGATTTTCCGGGCGCGATCACATTGCAACATTTGGGAAGCGTAGAGCTCCCATGGCGAACCCGAGGTTTCCCTCCAAAGTTGCGCAGTTAAGAACTAGTACCCCCTAGGTACTAGTTTCTGGTAACCGCGGGGCAAGGGCAGGCATCTGATCGCGTTTCTGGTGGCATCCAGCGCCCGCCCATGTCCCCTCGCAAAAAGGTGAAGAGAAAAGAAGAGCAGACGAGTCATTGTGGGGGAGGGGGAGAGAGAGCTTCGCACCAGCCAGCCCCCCCCCACCTTCCTGAGATGAGCAACGCCGGCATCACCTCCTGGGCAAGGCACGAGTGCCGGGGGTGAGGGGTGTGTGTGTGACGACGACGCGGGGACTCAAGGGAAACGCCATGGAGCAGGCAGGGGGTTCTTGGGTGGGGTACGACATGCAAAAAGTTTTTTCCTCAAGTCTCCACGATGCGCACAAGCACCCAACGGCGTATGCGCACACTTCAGTTTAAAACCAAAACACAGCCAAGTTTGCCGCGCCGCTTCTTTGCCATGTCATGTGATCAGCACCTCCCCCCTAACCACGGGACCTTGAGGGGACCTCGTTATTTGGCACCAGGGCAAACAGCCACGCTCCCCCCCCCCCCCCCCCCGCATTTTCTTGCCCATGTGACCGGGGCCTTTGACCCCTAGATCCTTTTCGCACATACTACTGCCAAGACTAGTCTCCCCCATCCTATAATTATGCATTTCCTTTTTCCTACTGTTGCCAACGCTCAAAGGGTGTTAAGGTTCTTTGACTTGTGCGGCTAGCCAATAAACCATACAGTCAAAACAATCAGCCAGGCAGTAAAGGGTAACAAAGGTATTTATTCGAATAAAGGAGCACCTCACAGCTTTCCCTTCCCCTGCGCACGACAGCCACCCTGTGAGGTAGCTGAGAGAGCTCTTTGGAGAACTGCTCCTGAGAGAATAGCTCTGAGAGAACTTGTGACTGACCCAAGGTCACAGCAGCAGCTGCATGTGGAGGAGTGGGGAATCAAACCCGGTTCTCCCAGATTAGAGTCCGTGCTCCTAACCACTACACCAAACAGAACAATATAAGGTTTTTTTTGGGTCTCCTTTTGGTGAGAAAGGCGGGGTAGAAATTAATAAAAAAAAAATAACGGCCAACCAAAACCCCATAGAGCAACGTTCAAGATTTCAAATTCTCCCGCGCCCACGTTGGGCAGACTGGACAGCCAATAGCCGCTTTCCATTACGGCCGGAAGTCCGACCCCTAAGCCTCTCCGGGTTCTGTTTTGTTTTTTTGCTTCCTCTATATAAGGGCCCGGAGGAGGCCATGGGGCGTTTTTATCATTTGCCCGTTCCGTCTCTTCTCCACCCCGATGCCCATGGAGGGATTAGAAAGGTGGGAAGGAGCCGAGCGACAGGAAGGCGTCCCGCAGGCAGTACGAAGGGCAGCCCCATCCGCGAGCACGCGCAGTCGTGAGGGTGGCGGGGGTGCGAGGGCCCGCGGTGCACGCGCAGTCGTGAGGGTGGCGGGGGTGCGAGGGCCCGCGGTGCCCTTCTTCCGCCCGGGGTGGCGGGGGTGCGAGGGCCCGCGGTGCCCTTCTTCCGCCCGGGGTGGGGGGGGGAGAATGCGCGCGCAGGAGGCGGGAAGCGCGGCCGGGCGGGCGAGGGGGCGGGATGCGGTTGCCGTGCGAGGTGTCGGTGGTCAGCCGGCTGCTGCCCTCGGCGGGGCTGCGGGGGCCGGGGCGAGCCGCCCGGGCGCTGCTCTCGCTGGGGAGGCCGCCCGGAGGAGGAGGAGGAGGAGGGCGAGCAGCAGGCGGCGGCGGCGGGGTCTGGCTCCTGGTCAGCACCGCCCGCGACCGCCCCGGCACCAAGTACCAGGTGAGGCACTTCCGGCCGGGAGGGGGAGGGGCAGCGGAAGTGGCGCCCCCCCTCCCCTGCAGTCCCCACAACAGCCCCGCAAGGTGGGCCAGGGAGGAGGTGGAGCGCGGCCAGGAGCGCAGGAGGGACGGAGGCGGAGGGAGGGTCGCGAGCGGTTCTCCCCCCCCCCCCCCAAGAAAAACCCCATTCCCCGGGGAATAAACGCCTACCTCCCCCGCCACTGTCGGGCAAGGGGAAAATGAATGTGGGTTCTGACATTTCCTCTGACATGTTTATATGCTGACAGCTGTCACTGTGCCTTCGAAAGTCTAAGTATAAGAGATCCAGATCTTGGTATGTGTCCCAGGATTTTCTGATTAGAGAACAATGCAAGAACTCGTGGGCACTCCGTGAAACTGCTGAGCGGTCGGGTGAGAACGGATAAAAGGAAGTCCTTCTTCACCCAAAGAGTGATGAACACTTGGAATTCACTGCCACGGGAGGTGGTGACGGCTACAAGCATGGACGGCTTCAAGAGGGAACTGGATAAACATATGGAGCAGAGGTCCATCCGTGGCTATTAGCCACAAGGTATAGATAGGGACTCTGGGGCAAGTGATGCTCTGTCATCTCGGTGCTTGAGGGGGTCAGCAGTGGGAGGGCTTCTAGTGTCCTGGCCCCACTGCTGGACCTCCTGATGGCCCCTGGTATTTCTGGCCACTGTGTGACACAGAGTGTTGGACTGGAGGGGCCATTGGCCTGATCCAACATTGGCTTCTCTTATGTTCTTATAGATAGGAACTCTCGGTCTGGGGCAAGTGATGCTCTGTCTTCTTGGTGCTTGGGGAGGGGCAACAGTGGGAGGGCTTCTGATGTCCTGACCCCACTGCTGGACCTCCTGATGGCACCTGGGATTTTTGGCCACTGTGTGACAGAGTGTTGGATGGGCCATTGACCTGATCCAACATTGGCTTCTCTTACGTTCTTAGGAACTCTTGGTCTGGGGCCAGTGATGCTCTGTATTCTTGGTGCTTGGGGGGGTAAGAGTGGGAGGGCTTCTAGTGTCCTGGCCCCGCTGGTGGACCTCCTGAGGGCACCTTTGTGTGTATCTGATCCAACTTGGCTCCTCTTATGTCTCCTTACATATGTCTCTGTGTGCCAGTTACAGCCATCTGTCAGCTGTCTCACCACTAAGGGTGGCTTGTCTGTCACCCCCCGGAGCCCAGGCCTTTTCCATTGTGGCTCCGGCCCTGTGGAACGGGCTCCCTGAATAGTTGGGGGGGGGGCCCTCCTTGGAGATCTTCACAAGGCGCTGCAAGACCTGCCTGGTTTCCAGGGCTTTTGAGGGGCTTTGAAATGGCAGACACCTTTTAAGGGTGGGAGAGATTTGGGGAGTTGCTATTTTATTCTTGTTTTTACTGGAAATGTTTTTTTAATTATTATCATAAGCTGCCTTGAGCCACAAGGAAAGCTGTGGTCTGAATATTTTAATAAGCAAAATGAACAAAAACAAGCCACCCTATTTTTAATGTTGTTTTATTTATAAGCATAATGCATAAGTATGGTCAGGGGCCGGCATACCTGAGGGACCGCCTTTGCCCACATGTTCCCCAAAGAGCCCTGCGTTCAGGGACACAAAATCTCCTGGTTCTCCCTGCCCCTAAAGAGGGCTAGGGCCTTTCCTGTGGCGGCTCCACGCTGGTGGAATGAGCTCTCCAAGGATTTATTACAGTTCTGCAGGGCCTCCGAGACGGAGCTCTTCCACCAGGCATCCAATCGAGAAGCCACAGATAACATCTCAATATAAATTAGAGCCTTACCCTGGAATTCCACCATCAGCTATTATTATTACTGACTGGTACCCGTTATGGGTAATACTCAGAAATGACGTTTCGTCATCCTATGTGCAATATCTTTGTATAGCGCCTTAGATCTGTTTTATGATTTTAATCTGTTTTTAAACTTTTATGTAAGCTGCCCTGAGCCTGCCTTGGCGGGGAGAGCGGGGTATCAATCAAATTAATAAAATAATAAGTACATTATGGAAAGTCCAGCCGTTTTTAACCATCCTAAAAAGGATGCTCGTGGAACAGTTTTCAGACTAGAAGCAGATCATAACAATGGCTCCCAAAGATGGAACCTCCAGGAAAGAGAAACATTTTGCAGTGCCGTTTTGGTGCTCGTTCCGAGTGGTTTTGTTTGCATGACTCATCCCTCATTCCAGAAAGCGGTTCCCACACAGGACAAAGGAAGCGAGATTCCCCCCGTTTGCATACGCACGCCCACACACAGCTCATATGAATTCTGTTGGAGGCCCAGAATGCTCTGTGGTTTTAAAAATTTAAAGATCAGCGATATTCAGGACGGCGCATTCCCAGCCGCTGAACTAAGTGGAGTTGGTTGGAATAAGTCTTCTTGTGGATTAATGGGTTAGTTGACGCTGGCTTCATCTGTGCTTTCCCTGGCATCTGTCTAGATGCGCTCTGCCAGAGCTCTGCCTCGTCAACAGCAGTTGGCTCCGGCCGCCCTTCCCTTCCAGCGTCCCCGGTCTGCTCCTCGGGCTTGGAGGGTGCCTGGAGGAAGGGAGGCCTGCAGGGGAATTGGCAGCCGGGCCCGAGTGCGAGGGAAGGGCTTTCTTGAGCCTCGCAGGCTGCTCTGTGCCTCAGGCCTTTCTAGGATCACAGTACCTCCTGTTCTTCAAAGCCTGGGGCAGGCACAGGGTGTGTGGGTGGGGTGCTGGGGAGGCGCAAGGGGCCACTTTGAACTTGCGGAGTGGGAAATCGAACAGCCGGTGCACGCGAGAACAGCCTTGATGTCTCGGGCGGAGAGCCCAGTCCGCTTCAAGCTGTGGTTCACCGGAAGAGCCTCTGGTTGGCATGCAGGAGGTCCCAGGCAATGCTCCCTCTAAGCCGTGGAGTCTCGGGAGCAAAGATTCTACTCTATGAGCCACTGGCATTAAAGCTGCGAGCAAGCAATTTGGCTGCTGCGTCAATCAGTTTCCTCTGGAGCCCCGTCCTTCCCGAGCGAAGAAAAAAACGTGTGAGCTGGAGTCAGCAGGGACTCACGAAAGTTCCTACCCTGCCACAAATGTTAACATAAGAGAAGCCGATGTTGGATCAGGCCAATGGCCCATCTGGTCCAACACTCTGGGTCACACAGTGGCCAGAAATACCAGGTGCCATCAGGTGGTCCAGCAGCGGGGCCAGGACACTAGGAGCCCTCCCACTGTTGCCCCCCCCACTCCAAGCACCCAAGAATACAGAGCATCCCTTGCCCCAGCCTGAGAGTTCCTATCTATACCTTGCGGCTCATAGCCACCGATGGACCTCTGCTCTCAACATAAGAATATAAGAGAAGCTAATGTTGGATCAGGCCAATGGCCCATCCAGTCCAACACTCTGTGTCATACAGTGGCCAAAAATACCAGGGGCCATCAGGAGGTCCAGCAGTGGGGCCAGGACAGCAGAAGCCCTCCCACCGTTATTCAGGTTAAATTGCCGTGTTGGCACTTTGCGCTAAATAAGTGGGTTTTGTGTCACAGTTTGGGCACTCGGTCTCTAAAAGGTTCGCCATCACTGGCCTAGAGCATCCCTGACGAGTGCTGGTCCAGCTGCTGCTTAGAGACTGCCAGGGAGGGGGGAGCTCGCCGCCGCCCAATGCTCCCCCTAAGCTCTGGAGTCCTGTGATCAGAAATTCTACTTTGTGAGCTGCTGGCATTAAAGTGGTGAGCGACCGATTTGGCTCCTGCATCAATTAGTTTGCTCTGGAGCCCTCCTTCCTGAGCCAAGACAAAAAGGTGCGAGCCAGAGGCTAAAAAACTGTGAACTAGCTCACACTAACTCAGCTTAGAAGAAGAAAAAGAGATTGGATTTATACCCCCCCCCCAAGCACAAAGAAGACAGAGCATCCCTTGCCCCTGACTGAGAGTCCCTATCTATACCTTGTGGCTAATAGCCACTGATGGACCTCTGCTCCGTATGCTTATCCAATTCCTTCTTGAAGCTGTCCAAATCTTGTAGCCGCCGCCACCTCCTGTGGCAGTGAGTTCCATGTGTTCATCTCTCTTTGGGTGAAGAAGGACTTCCTTTTCTCTGTTCTAACCCGACTGCTCAGCAATGCCATTGAGTGCCCATGAGTTCTTGTATTGTATTGTTAGTCTTCAAGGTGCTACTGGACTCTGGCTCTTTTCTACTGCTGCTCTGGACAGAGTAACATGGCTGCCCATCTCGATCAAGCTCCCAGGTCCAATCCCCGGCGTCTCCCGTTAAAAGGACCAGGCAGCAGGTGAGGCGGAAGACCTTTCTCTGCCTGAGACCCTGGAGAGCTGCTGCTGCCGGTCTGAGAAGCCGAAACCGAAGGTGTGGTTCAATACGGGTTCATCAGGTTGACGAATTAGACCGGGATTACGGTGCTTGTGAAATGTGTCAGGGTTGTTTTATTAAGCAGAGCTGGTTTACTCAAGACGGCAATCTTGTTGTGTTCTTCCTCCTGCCCCCCCCCATCCCCAATCCAGTTGAAAGAAAATATAGAACAGCTTTTTACCCGGTTTGTGGAAGAAGGAAAAGCCACCATACGGCTGAAGGAACCAGCAGTGGATGTCTGTCTCAGCAAGGTACGGGATCAGGCCCGAAGCACTGCCTGACCAAACGCTGCTCTTACTGGCCAGGTGAAACATAACCGGGGGAGGGGGGGAGAGGTCTCTCCCCAAAAGGAGGGGGGGAAGCTGCGGCTTTGCCTTTGACATTCCAGGATCAAGAAGCCACACTTGGAGTGCAGTCCCAGGGACAGTTTTCCGGGAGTGATCCTCATTGAGTACAGTAGGACTTACTTTGGGGAGGGGCTGTGGTTCAGTGGTATAGTTATCTGCTTAGCAGTGGAAGGTCCCAGGCAATGTTCCCTCTAAACAGAGTGAGTGTGAGCTAGCTCAGTTTTTTAGCCTCCGGCTCACACGTTTTTGCCTTAGCTCAGGAAGGGATGTGGCTCCAGAGCAAACTAATGGATGCAGGAGCCAAATCGCTGGCTCCCAACTTTAATGCCAGTAGCTCACAAAGTAGAATTTTTGCTCAGAAGGCTCCACAGCTTTGGGGGAGCACTGGTCCCAGGTTCAGCCCCCATCATCTCCAGTATAAAGCAGGAGGCAGTAGAAGAAGAAGAGGAGATTGGATTTATACCCCATGGCCCTTCACTACCCAAAGGTGTCTCAGAGCGGCTGACAAACTCCTTTCCCTTCCCCTCCCCACAACAGACACCCTGTGAGGTGGGTGGGGGCTGAGAGAACTCTGACACAAACTGCTCTTTTTCAAGGACAGCTGTGCCAGAGCTTGTGACTGACCCAGGGTCACACCAGCAGGTGCAAGTGGAGGAGTGGGGAATCAAACCCGGTTCTCCCAGATTAGAGTCCGCAAACTTAACCACTACACCAAACAGTAGGTGAAGTGAATGGCCCTGCCTGGGATCCTGAAGAGCCGCTGCCAGTCAGAGTGGGCAATACCATGATGGAGTGATGATCTGATTTCAGTATAAGGCAGCTTCGGTGTGTGTTTGGCAGATCTCCATTGTTGGGTTGGGGTGCTGGCTCAGGGGGAGAGCCTCTGCTTGGCATGCAGAAAACCCCAGGTTCAGTCCCCGGCATCTCCAGTTGAAAAGGACCAGGCAGGAGGTGATAGGAAAGCCCCTCCACCTGAGACCCTGGAGAGCTGTAAAGAGGGGCCGTGGCTCAGTGGCAGAGCATCTGCTTGACATGCAGAAGGTTGCAGGTTCAGTCGCTGGCATCTCCAGTGAAAAGGACCAGGCAGGAAGTGATGGGAAAGCCCCTCCGCCTGAGACCCTGGAGAGCTGTAAAGAGGGGCTGTGGCTCAGTGGTAGAGCATCTCTTTGGGACGCAGAAGGTCCCAGGTTCAATCCCCGGAATCTCCAGTTAGAAGGACCAGGCAGGAGGGGATGTGAAAGACCGCACCCTGAGACCCTAGAGAGCTGTAAAGAGGGGCCGTGGCTCAGTGGAAGAGCCTCTGCTTGGCATGCAGAAGGTCCCAGGTTCAGTCCCCGGCATCTCCAGTTGAAAAGGACCAGGCAGGAGGGGATGGGGGAGACCTTTCTCTGCCGGAGACCCTGGAGAACAGCTGCCAGTCTGAGTAGACAGTATGGACCTTGGATGGACCCAGGGAATGAGTCAGTGGAAAGCAGATTCGTGTGATTTTTTAAAAATTATTTATTATTTATTAAATTTGATTTCTTAAGCGCCCTTCCCCGCTTACATGGGGCTCAGGGCGGTTTACAACAGTGAATTCAGTGCATTATAAAATCAATTAAAACTATGAACTCCCAATATTAAAACGTTCAAAGACATTTCGACATCGAAAGCATTTTAAGACGAGACGGCGGCGCTGGCATTCAGTCATTGGGGGGAGGGGAGTATGAAGTAGACTGTCTGAGGATTGCTCCCGTTAGTGACCCCAGTGCTATGTCAGCAGGGAAATGCAGAAATACCACTCATTTGATTGTTCTTGTATTGCCTCGGTTCTACGATTTTTAAGTTCCTTTTAGTGGAGACGCGGCTGGCTGTTTTCCAGCGTGTTTTAGGTTCACTTAAGTTTTGAAATGAGATGAAAAGCCAGTCAGTGCTCTTTCTCATTATGAAATGCTTGAAAAAGATTTCTAATTTTCGGTTTTGTACATGGCAGTTAGCAAGTGGTAAGCTTGCAACATCAGATTATTTACAAAATCTGCGCATAGAGTGTTTTACGTGATACGTTTTTGCCAGCCTGTCCTGAATCTCTGTCCAGATGAATGTTTCTGATCCCAAACTGCATTTTCCGGTGGCATCTGTTGGAACTTCCTTCCTTTTTCTCTTCTCCTGTCTTAGCAGATTCAGTTTTTGTTCCTGCCAGCTCAGTTTAGTCTTGTGGGTACCAGTAACACAGCCTAATGATGATGGCCCTGTGGCGTCCTTGCTTATAGGGGAGATGGTTTTACCTTTAAAACACTCTCTGTGTACCTAGACTTGGTAGATTTCTGCTGCCACCAGGAATTAAAAATTCCAAATCTCTCTCTTTTGGTAGTATGACCCAGGGTCTGGGCACTTCAGAGGACTATGTAGCCCTGAGGAAGGACTATGATGATTTCTGGGATAAGTTTAAACAAAAAATGATTTATATAATAAAGAACAAAATAGTTTCCTGGTTATTTTGAACTGTTGCTGATGGAAGGAACTTGTAAATATAACTGGCAAAGCTTGGTGTCAGTCTCTCAGACTCCCAAATCTCCACTCTGACAGGCGTAGACACTCAGTCTAATCTCTCTCCCCCTCATCTATATAGCCACACAGGCTGAACTCTTTGTCTTATTCACACAGAATAGACGCTCTCTTCACACACAATCCTCTCATAGGCACTCCTCCTCCTCCCCCACACTCAGTCATCAGCCAATCACATCACACTTGTCCCCCTCTATCACTCTCCTTACAGTACTGCCGTCAAACTAAACATTTAAAGAAACACACACACCAAAACATGAAATCATTACAGGCCCCGTGTCCACGCTGCTTAGAGAATGTGCCAGAGAAAACTTCATCGTGCTTCCCCTGTGCTCTGATGCTAGCGTTGTTTATAAAGTCAGGGAATCTGCCAGTGCTGATAGCCTTTGTGTCCCATTTCGGATGCAGGCAAACGCCAGCCTTTTGAAGACCTTCCTCTCGGCGGTGAAGCTGGCGAACAGCGGAACCCATGAGGAAACACTACCGCTCTCTGCCTTGGTCCCACCCAAAGCATCCGAAGTGGAGAAGCCAAAGACGAGGATGACAATTACGTCGAGGAAGGAGTACCCGCTCACCCGGAACTTCCCGTACTCCCTGGAGCACCTCCAGGCCTCCTACTGCAGACTGACCCGCATCGACATGCGCATGCTCTGTCTGAGGAGCCTCCGGAAGCTGGACTTGAGCCACAATTGCATTAAGAAGCTGCCGGCCACCATCGGGGACCTGGTGTGCCTCCAGGAGCTGAACCTGCACAACAACCACCTCGAGGCCTTCAGCGCGGCGCTCTGCGGCTCCACCCTCCGGAAGTCGCTCCAGTCCCTGGATCTCGGCCAGAACAGGATCAAAGCGCTCCCGTCGCAGTTCTGCCAGCTGCAGGGACTGACTCACCTGAGGCTGGACGACAACGAACTGGTCAGGCTGCCTGTCAGGATCGGGCGGCTGAGACAGCTGCGCTCCTTGTCTGCCGCTCGTAACAAGCTCCCGTTTCTGCCTGACGACTTTGCAAAGCTCTCCCTCGAGAACCTGGATCTGTTCGGCAACCCGTTTGAGCAGTCCCGGCCGCTTGTCCCCAACGTACAGCTCAAAATACCACTGACTTTGTTAGAGAGTTCTGCGAGAGCGGTGGTCGACTTCAGGTAAAAGGGTTCATAGAATCCTAGAATCACGCAGAGCGGGAAGGGGCCAGACGGGCCATCCAGTCCAACCCCCTGCTCAGTGCAGGATCAGCCTAGCGCAGCGGTGGTGAACCTATGGCACGGGGGCCAGAGGTGGCACTCAGAGCCCTCTCTGTGGGCACGCGTGCCATTGCCCCAGCCAGGCCCAGACCATCATTAAAGTGTCGAATTCTCTGCCAAATAATTTCAAGTAAATGAAAGCATTTGGGATTGCTTTCCTTACTTTGGATCATCTGAAGTTAATGTATGGGTTGTTTTTTTCTAAAGTAAAACCTCAGTATTCAGGTTAAATTGCCGTGTTGGCACTTTGCGCTAAATAAGTGGGTTTTGGGTCGCAGTTTGGGCACGCGGTCTCTAAAAGGTTCGCCATCACTGGCCTAGAGCATCCCTGACGAGTGCTGGTCCAGCTGCTGCTTAGAGACTGCCGGGGGGGGGAGCTCACCACCGCCCAATGCTCCCCCTAAGCTCTGGAGTCCTGTGAGCAAAAATTCTACTTTGTGAGCTCCTGGCATTAAAGTGGTGAGCGACCGATTTGGCTCCTGCATCAGTTAGTTTGCTCTGGAGCCCTCCTCCCTGAGCCAAGACAAAACGGTGCGAGCCGGAGGCTAAAAAACTGTGAACTAGCTCACACTAACTCAGCTTAGAAGAAGAAGAAAAAGAGATTGGATTTATACCCCGCTCTTCACTACCCAAAGCTTAGGGGAAACAGTGCTCCCAAGGCAGCTGATTCCACTGTTGAACAACTCTTAACTGTAAGAAAGTTTTCCCTAATATCAGCCCATACCTTCCCGCCCTTAATTTAAACCCATGATTGCCAGCCATAGAATCACACAGAGTGGGAAGGGGCCATAGAGGATGTCCAGTCCCACCCCATGCTCAGTGCAGGATCAGCCTGGAGCATCCCTGACAAGGGTTTGTCCAGCCGCTGCTTGAAGACTGCCAGGGAGGGGGAACTCACCACCTCCCCAGGGCAGCCCATTCCACTGTAGCACAAGTCTGACTGCCAAAAAAAATTCCCCTAATATCCAGCTGGTATCTTCCCACCCGTAATTTAAACCCATTATTGCCAGTCATAGAATCACGGAGTTGGAAGGGGTCCCAGAGGCCATCTAGTCCAACCCTTGCCCAATGCAGGATCGGCCTACAGCACCCCTGACGAGTGCTCGTCCAGCCGCTGCTTCAAGACTGCCAGGGAGGGGGGGCTCACCACCTCCCCAGGGCAGCCCATTCCACTGCTGGACTACTCTTAACTGTAAAAAAGTTCTTCCTAAGATTCAGCCGGTACTTTCCCACCCTTAAATTAAACCCATTATTGCCAGGCATAGAATCATAGAATCACAGAGAATGGGAAGGGGTCCCTAGAGGCCATCTAGTCCAACCCCCTGCTCAGTGAGGATCAAGTCTAGAGCACACCTGAGAAGTGTCTGTCCAGCCACTACTTCAAGACTGCCGGGGGGGGGGGGGGGCTCAACGCCTCCCAAGACAGCTGATTCCACTGTTGAGCCACTCTGACTGTAAAAGAGTCTTATTGTTAAGACTGGCATTCTTGAGAGAGCCAGTCTGGTGTCATGGTTAAGTGCGCGGACTCTAATCTGGGAGAACCGGGTGTGATTCCCCACTCCTCCACTTGCGCCTGGCTGGATGACCTTGGGCAAGCCGTAGCTCTGATAAGAGCTGTTCTTGAAAAAGAGCCGTTTCTGTCAGAGCTCTCTCAGCCCCACCTACCTCACAGGGTGTCTGTTGTGGGGAGGGGAAGGGAAAGAAGTCTGTAAGCCACTCTGAGACTCCCTTGGGTAGTGAAGGGCAAGGTATAAATCCAATCTCTTTTTCTTCTTGAAAAAGAGCAGTTTCTGTCAAGAGCTCTCTCAGCCCCACCTACCTCACAAGGGTGTCTGTTGTGGGGAGGGGAAGGGAAAGGAGATTGTAAGCCGCTCTGAGACTCCTTCGGGTAGTGACGGGCGGGGTATAAATCCAATCTCTTTTTCTTCTTGAAAAAGAGCAGTTTCTGTCAAGAGCTCTCTCAGCCCCACCTACCTCACAAGGGTGTCTGTTGTGGGGAGGGGAAGGGAAAGGAGATTGTAAGCCGCTCTGAGACACCTTTGGGTTGTGAAGGGCGGGGTATAAATCCAATCTCTTTTTCTTCTTGAAAAAGAGCAGTTTCTGTCAAGAGCTCTCTCAGCCCCACCTACCTCACAGGGGTGTCTGTTGTGGGGAGGGGGAGGGAAAGGAGATTGTAAGCCGCTCTGAGACACCTTTGGGTTGTGAAGGGCGGGGTATAAATCCAATCTTTTCTTCTTCTCTTCTTCCTCTTCTTCTGACACACACCCCAATCTGTGTCTGAAGCATTAGGAATTAGCAAAATAGATTTTGACTGAGAGGAACGCAACGCAACGAGGAACAAGTGGGTCAGCGGCATGAATGACTGGCTCAGGCTTTATACTGGAGAGGATGAAATTTCTGACAGAGCTGTTCCTCAGTGGAAGAGGCTTCCTTGGGAGGTGGTGGGCTCTCCTCCTTTTGAGTTTTTCAAACAGAGGCTAGATGGACCCATCTGACAGCAATGCTGATTCTGTGAATTTAGGCGGATCATGAGAGGGAGGGCAGGGAGGGTTGCCTCAGTGCTTAGTTCTCGTGGCCCTTTCTTACATGCCCAGGGAAATGCTGATTGCCACT